AATTTCAACTTTGTTATTAAGCATTATTTTGAAATTGTTCCATGTTTAATTGGTAGCATATTGGAATATTTACGCATTTGAAAAGAAAAATTACGATCTTTGCTTCATATTACGAAAATTTTTGATATCAAAAAAGTTCTCTTCTACAATTTTTTGATGAAAAAGCACAGCTGCAATGACGTTTTTTGTCATAGCAGATAGTTACAGGTGGATAGTCCTTGTCAATAATAACAAAAATTTGTCAAACTGGGACGTACTCTGAATTTCCTTTCACGAATTTGCTGATATGCGATTAGTTCAGGGGAAATGCTACAGTAACATAGTAGAAGCTGAAAGAACTCACGCCAACAAAGGGCGAGGGGAGTGGTTCCAGGAAGATAGTGGACGATAGATGTTCGGGCTCCAAGCACAGAGGAACACGTATTGGAGATAACCGAATCAGGGCCTTCCAGGGACACTCAGAGCACAATATCTGACACTTTCCCAAGCACCAAATAAATACCGAGGAAGGGCTACGTTCCTACCACGTTTGTACGATACACACAGCACAAGGAGATACAAATGGAGCANGAGTTAATTAACTGAATACGAGAAGCTGCTTGATAAGAGTGGATAATAAGGAGATTACACAGGCACTAGCTCGTTTGGAGTTAACCATTCAAATGTTTGGTGTTGTATGGATTATTTATGTAAACACCAATATTCGAGGTTATGAGAACAGGTTGGCATTTCGTCAACAAATCTTGTTGAATTTACCGTTTATCCTTGTCTATCTTATTGTCAGTCTGTATAATAGCATGGTTACCGGAGTTTTAAATAATTACGAAGCCACAGGTATTTGCGCATTCTTAATTAGGCAAATTAGCTTGAAAAACATTGCTGCCGTATTTCTGACAAAATTTTTGGCAAATTTCTCAGTTTTTAATAACAACTAATTTATTTTACTATTTTTTCTGTGCTCCTATAACAGCGCCAGACAACACCTCCAGAGGAATGACGCCAATTTTGAATCACCCTGTATAGGCCCTTGTTCGAACAGGTTGTCAGTTATGGGTTAATAATCTGGGGTGGTCTGTACAAAAATGCCATTGAACCTCTAAATGTAACTCAAAATTGAATTCTCAGAGTGATTTACAAAAAGCAAAGATTATATTCGAATTCTGTATTGTATTCAAAAACAATTTTTAGTATTAGGTGCTTGTATGTAATTCTAGCATGTAAGTGTATGTATCAAAATACCACAAAAATAATTGTTAATAATCCATATGTTTCCAGAAGCCAAAAAAATAAAATGATAAATTTTCCTAATAGTAAGATCAAATTTAACCAAAGATTTGTGGATTATGTGGGTCCTAAATTATTAATAATATAGCTTTGAATATTAGAAATATATCATCACTTAGATTATTTAAAATAAAATGTCAAGATTATATTTATGAAAATACTGATTCGTTTCTTAAATATTTTTAACTCATGTAAATCCGCAGATCCAACAACCTCTAAAATGTTATTTTTCTTTTGTACAGTCATGCACATACAGGTGGACACACCTAGGTGCTACACATTTTTGGATTGATTAGCTTTTGGGATAGCATTGGTTCTTGGATAGCCTGTTGTTAATTTATAAATTGTAAACTCGTCATTTGAATAAACTTTGAATTTGAATTTGAATCTCTTTTATTTGTTGATCTTTGTTGTTTTTTTTAATTGTCATAAATTAATTTTTGTTTTTAATGTATAGGTACAGGATTTTAACGGTCGATAGAAAATCTAATTGTAAGATGAAAATATCATATCATAACATATTAGGGTGGTTCTTAGTCAAATAGGTTGATTTAGTCTCACCCTTTAGATATGTTCTATTCTTTTTGGTTCATTCATATATGCAAGCTTGGTTTAAAGCTCCATTGGTAATAGAATCCAAGATCTTCAGTTTTTGAAGAGGATTTCTAAATATCCTGATTCTTCTATTTCTCAAATAGCAATGAATAAATTCGGAGGACACTTGTGGTATCTCTCTCCTGAAAATGTGGATCTTGCATTTTTTGATACGAATGTACTAAGCGCTGAAAAACTGAAAATGGTAGAAGCCACCAAAGTTTTAGGAATCTTTAGGAGCCGCATGATAATACTTTTAAAAAAATGTTTGAATCGAGTATCTTATCAAAGGAAATTAATAATTTTGTATCATCTGAAATATTAAATCTTTTCAGAAGATTTAATAAATCAATTGATTTCTTAAGTACCTCACTTGCCATCTGAGAATTCCGAGAAGGTTATCAACAAGGGTTAAATATTTTGTTTTACTTATTGTTAACGATGTCGCAGAAAGGGGAATACAGTTAACACAAGAGTATAATATTATAACAAAGGATGAAAGTCCAAAGCAGATTATTTTACCATTTGCAAATGATTATCGTCAAACTTATCCAGAATGTAAGAAACATACGCTGCTTCAAAAATAATTATTTATGTTTATTTCTTTTGTTGTACTAAATTTGCATTTCATTTTGCAGTGTATAAATATTTTGTAATGGAATAAATAAAGGATTTATTAAACATTGTCTTAAAAGTTTATGATTTCTTAAAAAACCATAAATTAGCGCGTTTGTTACACCTGTTCAAATTGCCTTACAGAGTCTGTCCTATCGGAAACGTCTGGGGGGTGAGACCTTAAAAAATCGATAGTTCAAAGTTAAGGGCCACACCATAACATATATTGAAAACGGTTTGTTTCTGAAATACTGGGTGGCAAACGAAGCATTTTATTGTATTTTTTTATTGAAAAATTGCTTTACATATTTATAATTCTTTAACTTAAGTTTGTTGCTTTCTGGTAAATAAGTTTGCAATACATTTTCTCTTCTTTAAAAAACTTGAAAACCGTTACTGTTACCGACTTCATACTAGAGTACCTACCGTTCTGGCGCACATGTAAAGGGAAAACTATGTTTATGTTAAATCAGCTTGATTTAGGTAGCCACAAAAGTTATTAAAATTTGAAAAAATAATAAGAATATAATAGTGTGTAATAATGTGGCGCCCCTTTGTAAATTTGGCGAAAACTTGTACATAATTGGATGGGGCATTGCGACAAGCCCCAGAATTTACAATTTTATTATACTTAACAGTATAATAAAGTGAAAACAGAAGCGGTTTCGAATATATGTTGTATTATATTTTCGTCATTTAAAATTGGATTTTTTACCGACTGTTAAAGTCCTGCTGCTACAAACTGACTCACCCTATATCTTATGCGTCCTGCTCTAAACTCTAGATGCATTTACCGTCAACCTGTATCCAAAAAGGAAAATCGCCGCTTTCCACCGCAGTAAAAACCCGCTCTATTCTTTGGTAATTTTGACCGTTTTAATTCGAATTACTCATCAACTGTACATTTTGCGACAAACGTTTCTATCTTAAAAGTATCAGGCATGTGTCTTCTTTGCAGACGATATGAATGCCTTCTAGTTACAGATGCAAAATGGTCGATGGATTTATATAAAAGAAAAAATGTAGAGATAAAACTAACTAGGTATTAAAAGCGGAATATGAACCACAAACAAAAACCAAGTGGTTTCATTAAAAAAATAACATACTAAAGACATTATTGCCGATTGTGACGTGCAAATACTCCTACGATATTTTGTTGGAAGTTATCTGATATTTCTTGCTTCTCCAACCGCTCCCGCAATTGGTGGGAGTAATTCCGTAATCATGGAATCGATCCTCCGAACCAGTTTCGCCCGGTAATTCATTTTTCGCGTTTATAAATTTTTTAAATATAAGTTTTTTGCTTTTTCAATTAATGTTTTCATTCACGTAAGAATTTGATGAAAAGATGGTAGAATCATCCAAAATAAAAAGTGTACAACAAAACGCGATTATTTCTGGAAATCTCTGAGTGTCTAAAATCGTTATAAGTCGAACCTTTGTATATAATACATATATGTATTTTAATAATATTTATTACTTTTTTAAAGGTGTTGATATGTAAGTGAACAACCGAACGTTTTTGCAGTCGAAAATCATGGAAAAATTTTTCCAAGTAAGAGTTACAGTTGACTTCCCTCGGTGCTATTCTGAGGCGCCCTATTGTTGGAAATTATTTGCAAAAAAGTACAATAGATATCTATATAGTAAAAATCACTAATTTATTATCGCAAACGGCAAAATATAAGAGTTTCTAATAAATTATTTAACCAATCAATCGAAACATTAAAATTACAACTTAAATAAATATACATTTTTAATGCTGTACGCTGAGATAAAAGTAGTGGTTGAACGGCTAGTTGAGCTGTAGAATCTAGCAAAAGGCTTCCGGTATTGGGCTCAATGTTAAGAAACAAATAGAAAAGGGTCTTTTTCAATGTTTACTTTCATCTTCTGTTAAGGCCTATTTACTATCTGAAAATTAAAACATCTGTTTAATTTTTTCATAAAGCAGGCCCGCTAGTTTCGAATTAGTTATTACAGTTACTATATTTGAATTATATGCATTTAATCTATTTATCGACTAGATGGAATGAGAACGGTCTTTGGTAAAATCCAATAAAGCTTTTTAAATAACAAATAAATAGTCTTAAATAACTCAGTTGGATCAAAAACTCTGAGATGTGTTTTTTAGATTAGAAAAAAGGTCGGCCAATTTTTTCAATCAAGTTAATTTTCAAGATTTAAAAACTTTAATTTTTAAATCTAGTTGCAACTACCTTCCATGTCCAGTTCAGAGTATTAAGAAAGTAGCAATCAATTACATCAAAACGCACTACTTGCTATACTTGGACAACTTTTTATGGTTTTAAGAAAGTAAGGGTTTCTTGTAGGTACTGCAAAACTGAATCAAAACTGTGTTCTTAAGAGAACGGGTCGCCTGCTAATTAGAATGCAACTTTAAAAAATTGTTTTGGCTCTTAAAATAATGCACATTTTGGTTTTCGAGTGTTTCAGAAAACACATATTTTGTTCTCAATTGTAGATAAACGAGGTGCAGAAAAATAACTAGTAATTCTGTAATCATTAAGTAATTATGCAAAAAGCTGATTGAATGTAAATGCAGTTACATTTTATTTGGATTACTTCTGTCTGACTGAATTTTTCGGGATATTAGGCCGTCATGGTCAAGAATTTCTTCAAGTGACTTGCATCTTCAGAGATGTTTTCGATTGAAAGCTTACACTGAACTGTGATGATTAGTCTAAAGTTCCAGAGTAAACTTCCAAGCGCAAGACCTCGTGCTTGCAAAACATCAAGAAGATGTTATTTCAACGACGATCTAAAAGTTCGGAAAAGTCACTAGTTTCGTATACAGCGTGGTCATCAAGTAGTCAAACTTTATTTCTATCTAAATGTTAAATACAATTTTTTTATTGAGTTACTGAGATTACTGAGTTTTTTTGTAAGTAGAACCAGTTGGTAAATGTGTCCCTTTCGAAAGCACACTGCAGATTCTGGAAATTATGCACCACACTGTGCCTGTCTTAACATTTAGAAAGTAACTGTGTGAAGTTTTTAAAATAACTTTAACGATTATAAAATTTGGTCGTATTTTTTTAATGTTTAATTTAAGCACTTATTCACAATAATAATAGGGAGTTTTTGGGCCCCTTAATTGCAATACGCTTTACGTTATCCGTTATTCTGAGCATGAGCAATAGTAAAGAAATCACTGTTTACGTTATTAGAGGGTAACGTGTTCTTTTATTTACGTCCGAGTAACGGTAACGTTAATAAGCATTACGTTAAAAACCAGAACGACGGTTTTGACATATTTGACTTATTTCTAATATGATTAATACAATAAGCGGCTATAATACAATAAGAAATGTATTGTAAATCGATATAAGACTTTTTCATTGACTATTTTGTAAGTGTCGTGTAAAATTAAGCCTCTTATTAAATCGTGATCTACATCTCCCTGGTCATTCCGGCGCAGAAAGGCAGCTTTAATGTTTTCTTCCATCTTAGCCATTTTCTGTTTAATAACAATACAAACTTAAACTAGATTTGAAACTTTTCCAAACAAAACGGGATAAGAAAACAATAAAGTGAGGTTTATTTTATTAAGAGTGCGATAAACGCGGTACCAAAAACTAAAAAACGCACTTAACGTTATTTGCCTGAACACCTTATTTTTTCAACACTACGCATGATTAGAATAACGTTTACCGTTTAAGGCCAACAAAATTTTAAGAGGCCTAAAAACTCTCTAATTTTAATACTTTATAAACAGCAAACAAAATCACGCAAAAGCTGTTCTTCTTCCATCTCATAAAATTAGCCTTTTTAAGATTTATCAGCACGTATACAGTGTTTTCAAAAGGATGAAAAAAATAATATAAACGCAGAAAAGATATATTTATATTATTTTAATCCATAATCAGGCACTAGTATTTTAATTCATTTTTAGTGCGCTCTTTTTGCTTTCATATTCATAAATTAGATCCTTCATATTCATAAAAAAGTATTTACAATTTCTTCAATTTGTCTAACTGTAAAACATAATGCCTACTTTGAAAGTAACCTTAACAAAACCTTCTTTAAGTCGGTTCAAGCCGAGGAACCTGAAATCGCACTCTTCAAAAGTCTGCAGAGTGGTGCGAGTTAGTAGATTGACTATTCATCTGCCGCGTCTTACTATGCAAAATCTTTGTATTACTTTATTCAAAGATGAATGTCTTCTGAGCTGCGACTGATTACTGATTTCGTTTTGTTATCCATTCATTCTTCTGGCTATTTTCACTAAACCTTGCTTGCTTTATATGCATTTCCAGTAGTTACACGATATGAATATGCACTTTTGAAATGTTAATGAGGCAAGTTACCTTGACAAACATTGTTGCCGCCCTTCTGATCTGGTTTTTTGCAAATATCTCGGTTTTTAATAATAATAATAATTTTTTTCTATTTTTTCTGTACTCCCTAAACACCCCCACACAAAACCCTTATGAACGAAGACAAATATTTTAAAAACAAAGCAATCCAATCACTTGTCTGATAGGACTAGAAACTATTTTTTTAATTTCGTGCCATTACAATAAATAGTGCATTTTATATTGATTTGCAAATCGATTAGCAATAAAACGCTATTGTTGTGGTTCTCTGGTTCTGGCACTGATCCGTTGACCCGAGACCCTACTACGGATTTCGAATCGTTGACGGACTCTGATCTTTAAAATAACCGGACTTGTCCACCATACATTGATTAAATTTAATTAAAATTCGTGGAGCTGTTACGTATACTTACCAGCATAGTTGGTCGGGTAGGGGTTGAAAAATTCAACCCCCGTAATTTCGCTGAAACCGGCAGGGTGCATCTGCGCGTACTGATTGATCGGGGGGGTGCTGGTGGACGTGCCGGGGGCGAAGGGAATCGTGGGCAGGGCGGCGCTGACAAGCGGGCCGTGCTGAGAGGGTCCGTGCGCCTGCTCGGCAAAACGGGGGTCGATTGGAAAACCCTGGTGGCCGCTGCTGCTGCTCGAAGACATCGACGCCGTGTGGGGTGCATATTGCTGAAATTCAGATCAATTAATTACTGGAAATGTCGGCCAAAAGCAGAATATGCAGGTCTGAATTGGGTTACATAGGGGTTAATAGGGTTACTTAGCAAAAATTCAAGATACCTATATCTGTATATAAATATTTAAGGAAAAACCTTCTGGCTTTGTGTGCAAGTAGAGTGGTGGTTGCTTTAAATATTTCGCTCTCAGTTGATTATTTTCTGAATGCCCCCGCCAACCAAAACTCTATTATCTAGTAGTTCACGCACTTTTAGAAAACAATAGTAAAAAAGTCCTTTTTCAAAGTACAGTAATGTATGGAGAGTTCAAACGTCAATTTTAATCACTCTATAATCCAAAAACCATAAATCATATTCAGGATCTGAACACCCAGTTTATTGTAACCCGAACTGCTTAATACAACTTTGCAAGGCGTCATGTTATTTCGTTTTTTTGTGAGTTGTACTCTACAGGATGTACATAATTAATTTAAACCATCACTTTTTAATCGGTGTCATATTGACTCTTTTACGTTAGCTGGAGTCTGCATGTCCATTTGAGTCCAGCCATTATTCTAATATCCAAGTAATGTTTCTACCACCCTATGGACGGCCCTGATTTAACCGATCGAGCAGAATCTCGAGAATCTAATAAGGTGAAAATTACATATGAGAAAAGATTTTCTGGAAAAGGTACTTTTAAGAGAAGAAGGAAACATCGTGCAGTGCTGAAAGAATGTATCGCTGAAATATTGCAGAAACATAAAAAATTGGAATAAAAGTCATCATGTTATCTTCTTTGAACCTTCGAAGACTTTATCTAGAAAATTTGGTTAACAGGGTGAATGAATAGTCCTGATCATCTCATTAATAAAACATACATTTAGATAAAGCTATACACGCAAGAAAATATGGACTGAAGACGAATTACGCAAACCAAATCTATTCAGAAAATGCATGATTTCATTTAATTTGTTTTTCATGCCGTGCGATGGACGAAGGAAAATGAATCACTATTGCATGACGTGATTTTTTAAAGAATAATTCTATGATGTGGAAGGATGTGGATTTAAACATAAATCTGTTCAAAGAACTCTCAAGAAAACAGAGAAGTTTAACTAAATTGCTTTAACTAGTTACAAATTTTAATTAATTTTTTTTATTAGTAAAACGTTCATCGTTTGAAATTGCAATATGCAAGTATTCAGCGTATGCAAGGTCGCTTTCTTAATTTTGTTTTATTTCGAATTATGTATTGTTTATATTGTACAGGGTTATTGATTGAACTTTGGCCACCCCGTTTTTTCATCTGATTTGAAATTTACAGAAAAACGTTAAATACAAAAGTTGTAGATATTTAACGTCTAGTTTCTTTTGAAACAGTACCATTGATACAGGGTGCCTCAAATTCAAGTGACAGATCAAACTTACCTTTTTCAAAATAGAATTCCGTACTTTTTATTGCATTTTCGAGCTATCCGTAAAACTCTAGGCCTATTCCATATAAATGTTCTATAATGGTTTTCAACTGTTTTTGAGCTAATATCTAATATTACTTCTTAACGAACTCCCCATTAACGGCTGTAGACAACCTAGTCGGACATTTTTGCATAAAACGGCCTCTGGACGAGTCCTTATGGTCCGGACAAGGATTTTTTTCGAGTATAATGAATTGCTTTGGATCAGTAAAGACCTCCTGTATCAAAATTTGACCGAAGTTTATCACAAAATTGGGTAAAGTTTCGAAATGTTTGCATTGTTTTGCATGTTTTCAGAAAATCGCCAATTGCTCGCTTATTATGGACCGTAGCGAAAAAGTTAATACCAACTTCTATGGAGCTTGAGACGGCCGATCGACAGAACTCATTCGATTGAGTTCAGCTCTTTTGGTTACCGAGATATTTACAACTTTTTGGAAAACATATCTTCGCGATTATCTCGAAAACTATAAAAGCTAGAAAATTAAAAAAATACCTTTCGATAGTGCCCGATGAGCCCGAGATTTTATTAAGAATAGCTTTTGTTGATAGGAAGCTTCGTTTTCGAGAAAAAAATAAAAAATAAAATTTGAATTTCGACAAAATCGCAAGGGTATCTACCACAATTTTTGGTGAAATAAAAAAAAAAATTTCGAACTATTCCTAGACAGGTGGATAGATATGGAAAAGTTACATGAAAAATCAACTTAGGTCAGTCAAAAAAAATTTCCACTGTGAGCCACAGTGGGAAGACGAAAAAGATTGTGCAGGCCTTTATGCAAGGGAAATTTTTAAAATTGAATAAAATTGTCAAATGACATTGAATTGGTTGAAATTGGCACCAATTAGTATTGAGACAAATACGAATGAACGATCGTGGCGAAAAAGTGAATACGAACTTTTTTATGGAGCTTGAGACGGCCGATCGAGAGGACTGATTATATGGAGTGACAGCTTTTTGGGAACCATATTTTCTCGAAAACTATGAAAGCTGGAAAATTGAAAATATCGTTCGATAGTGCCCGATGCCCCCGTAATTTTATAAGGGTTAACTTTGTCGATAGGAAGCTTCGTTTCGAGAAAAAAATAAAATGTAAAATTTCGAAAAAATCGCAAAGATTTCTAACTAACCCACCAAAATTTTAAGGGAAAA